TAAATAAATAAGAAAATGTTATGAACCAAATTTGACAACAGAGGTATGTCTATCCTTTGAAAAGAACGAAGAGGCCTCCGGTTACTGGAGCATGAAATAAGAGAGCCGCCTAGTGGTCAAAGTAGTGCACAAATTTGCCCCGAACACCAGAGAAACGTGATTTTACCGTTTTATTAACGTTAAGTGAAAAAGTAAAAAATAGAAACACTGTAGTAAAAAACAAAAAAGTAAAAGCATTGAAGAAAGACCTATTTTCCAAATTTATCTTTACCCTTTCTAAAACCATGATGTTGAATGTAGGTAATACTGGTACTCATTTAAAGTTTTCTGTATATATCGTACATCCATACATTCCCTCAATGCTTATTATTTTGTCCTTTTTAACCAGAAAGATGTGCCACAAATCTCACAGAATAACTAAATAAATTTCCTGCAGTTAAATTGCTTTCCAGCACATAGAGTGACTCAAATGTACTAAGAAGCCTGGTTAATAGAGGTTAAATGAGAATGCACTTTAAAATAAAAATAAGACTATTTTGGTATCATAATAGCATTAAATTAAATATTGGTACTTCAGAAACAGAAAAAACTGATAAGACTCTCTTCCTGATGCAAAAGACTGACAATTTAGTAAGGAAATTAAGTAGCTTAATAAAGTGTAAAGTAGAAAGTAAGATAGGGTTGGGAAGGTACATGGATACTATATGGTAGAAAATTTGGAATTTCAGGTTGAGGAGCTTGAACCCGGTAACCTGGTAAGAGCATCAAGAAAGATGACTGGCAGCAAAGTATAACATTGCATGGAGAAGGAAGAAACTATATATATATATAAAAGGAAGACCAAGGTCACAGTGGGGTTTTGAAACTCAGCTAAGAAAGGGCAGTGGGAGTTAAGAAAATGAGATAGATGTAATCATTTTTACTTACTTTTTAAAAATTTTACTTTTCTAAAAGTGAGATGTGACTTCTAGATGGTATCACCAAATATCATGGATAAGCCAGTTAAATTAACTAATCTATTTACAAAAAAAAAAAAAATTTTTTCTTTTTGTTTTTTTTTCAGACAGAGTCTTGCTCTGTCACCCAGGCTGGAGTGCAATGGCACTATCTTGGCTCACTGCAACCTCCGCCTCCCAGGTTTAAGTGATTCTCCTGCTTCAGCCTCTGGAGCTGGGATTACAGGCGCATGCCACCTTGCCTGACTAATTTCTGTATTTTTAGTAGAGACGTGGTTTCACTATGTTGGCCAGGCTGGTGTCGAACTCCTGACCTCAGGTGATCCACCCACCTCAGCCTCCCAAAGTGCTGGGATTACAGGCATGAGCCACTGTGCCTGGCTAGTAAAATACTTCTTTTTAAAAAAAAAAAAAAAAAAAAAAAAAACAGTAGTTCTGAAGTTCTGCATGACATCCAAAGAGAATAATGCATTTCCTTAAATACTTTTTTCCCTTAGGAATTTAAGCATATTTTCCATGACATTTTATATAAAAGATTGATTAGTTCAATCATCATTGGAAAAGTTAGTAAACAAAGGAAAACTTCCCTTTTATCTGTTCCATTTATCACCATTTCAAAAATAATTAAACACACAAATAAGGGACATTTGTTTCCTTGAATAGAAAATAGTTTCAAAGTTTTGTCACCTTCTTTTCTAATTAAGTAGACAGGAATTGAAGAGCTCCAGGGTTGGAAAGTTAAGCTAGTTGAGGACTTGATGGGAGAGGGAGGCACTGGGCAAGAGAAGGGAGCTGTACTTGGAAGATCACATATCTACAATTGATACAATCTCCTCACCATCTTTCCACCACCCATTTCAGGACAGGTTGTTCCTTTCAAGGCTGCTCTTCATACTCATTTTTAAAGTGCAGGCACAGGGCCACTTCATTAAAATTTCCTAGTACAAATACTGTGCACAACAAGTTGGTCTCATAACGCATTCATTCGAAAAGATCAAACTGAATTTCTGTGTGACTTACCCAGGAAGGCTTGGTTCTTGAGACATTTCTGCAGAGGCCATAGGTGAAAGTTGTCTACCTATATTTTTGGAACCAAAAATTTGAACACATGATGTAATAACAAGACAGAATATATCAAAATTTTTATGTTTTTAAAACTTATAAAGGAAAGATCCTTTGTCAGCTGCACATTTCCTGAAATTTTTCATTTATCTCCCTTTCCAAATTAGAACCCTGAAGTTAACAGTCTTTTTCTCTCCAATGCTCATCTTAATGGTTCACTGGGTCCTACTGATTCTCTTTAACACAGACCCAATCTGCTCCTTCTTCTCTGCCGTCACTGACTCAACCTTGGTTTAAGGCTTTCTTTATCTCTCACCAAGACCAAACTCTTCTGTGTATTTCTTTCTTTTTTGTTTATTTTTTTAATGGAGACAGGGTCATGCTATGTTGGCCAGGTCGGTGTTGAACTCTTGGCCTCAAGCAATCTTCCTGCCTTGGCCTCCCAAAGTGGTAGGATTATAGGTGTGAGCCACCGTGCCCGGCCGGGTATACGTATTTCTATGTTTCTCCCTTCCTCTCAATTCATTCTATATATTACCAACTGAGTTATCTATTTTGGAAACCCATTGTTTAAATTCTTCCGTGACTACTAGGATAAGTTCAGACACTAAGAATAGCATGCTAACCCTTCTGCAATAGCTGTGTGTGTAGCCATCTCTCTCCATCCTTCCACGTAACATCTCAAATCCTACTCTCACTGAATGTCCTCTCATCCCCTTGAAACAACTTTACCCTCTCAGGCAGACAGTCATTGTTCATCTCTTAATTCCTACTCACATTTTGACAGTCATCAAAGTTACCAAAAAGTTACCTGATTCAGCAAGACTGGATTAAGTATCATTGCCATGTACTCTCACGACATCCTGGGCTTTCACTTCCGTAATACTTGAATTTGTACTATCATTTTTTCCAAATCTACTGTGAGCAACTTGAGAGTAGGGCTGTTTATCTTCTAGAAGAGCACTTGCCACACACTGGTTGTTCAAAAAATTGTTTTTGATGCCCCTTGAAAATGGGACTTACTAGTCACAATGGAAATTGCATTTTATTTGTAGTTTCTCTCATGTCCCCGGTGCAATCCCTCCCATTCTAATCTATCCTGCATACTTGTCAGTCCAAACTTCATCATATTGCTTCTATCAAGGTCTTTCCTTCCTCAGAAACTTTGTTCTCCGTATTGTCTATGACAGCAGCCCAAACACTTGGATCTGGCTTTCAAAAGTTGTATCAGTTTGGATGTTCTTTGTCTGCTTTATTTCCAGTCCATGTCCTCCCTTACTTCTGGCCACTTCAAATATTGTCTTCATTTTTTTCTATTGAAGTCTCATCCATCCTTTCGATTCCCTGTTCAACAATAATTTCCTCAACTGAAGTCTTCTTTGACTCTTCAAACACATATTGAGCTTATAATTTACCACTTATTTGGGCACTTACATGTTATCTTAATTGGATGCAGCAATTTCCTAGGTAGGCATGGAGGAGATAAGGCCGCTCCAAGAAATTGTTGAGTAAGGGAAGGCAGGGATCATATTATACTTTTTGGTATTTCTCAGTGCAGCAATGATTCAATTTTGAAAAAGTGAGTAAAAATAAATCATATCAATAAAATAAAAGCTGCTAGAATACAAAGTTGGCCTTTGATCTGAAAGACACTATAGAATAAAGAGGAAGATTAATCACTAGTTTATTAGCTCTTTTGCAGAGAAGGATGTTAACCAGGTAGATGAGATCGGTGTAAGTGAAAATATTTTACTTGCAGGAAGTCATTATTAAAAGGTTCTGCAGGTTATTATTACATATTTTTCCCAGGTCATTACATTTTCTCTAAGGATATTTAGGTATAATTTTGAATATTACATAGTGGGTTCTGTAGAAAACTGCAGTGCTACCCTGTAACATACCAGATTGTAAGGCTATGCATATGCATACAAGTCCAAAGGTTTGGATACCCCAAATCTCTTCTATCCCTAAAATAAAGTATTATTTAAGGTGACAACAGAACTTATGGGAGTAGGTCATGTTTTCCACAAGCAAAAGTTCCCTTGGCATAAAAAAGTGGCCCAGTACCCTTTTAAAGATGGTTGCCCCATGGATTAATACAAGATCCTGCTCCAGGACGCTTAGCTAACACAATGAATTAATCTGGAGACAAACAATGTGTGCCCTCACAAACTCATATTTTGCTTTAACAAGGCCTTCTAAAGATACAAAAATCCAACCAAAAAGATCATTTGACGATGTGAAGCACAAACACAATATTAGGCCAACAGAAATAGCTGTTTTGGTACCTGCTAGCTTTTCTGCACCCTTCAATTACTCCAGGGATATTCTTGGTTACTCTTAACTACTGAACTATTTTTATTTTTGAGTTTCTCTTGCCACAAGGAGAGCTTGAAACCTGTAGTTCAAAGCAAAACGTAAAATGCATTAGAATCTCATCACTTGACAGTTCAGTGACTGGGCTTAATTTCTCTGACTTTCAGTTTCTTCATTTATAAAAGGGGATAGTAACACATATTTTGCAGGATTGTTGTTGAAATTATCAACAATGTATGTAAAATAACTAACACAGTGCCTGACATATAATAGGTGGTCAGAAAATAAGCAATTTTTTATTTTTTGAGACGGAGTCTTACTCTGTCACCCAGGCTGAAGTGCAGTGGTGCAATCCCGGCTCACTGCAACCGCCGCCTCCCCGGTTCAAGTGATTCTCCTGCCTCAGGCTCCAGAGTAGCTGGGACTACAGGTGCATGCCAGCATGCCAGGCTAATTTTGTGCATTTTTAGTAGAGATGGGGTTTCACCGTGTTAGCCAGGATGGAATAGCAACTATTATACTAAATTTAGTTGATTTTTTAAAATGTATCATACTGAGTTATGAAAGTCATCTTAGATAGAACATTTACTATTCTAATGCAAACTACCTAATTATCATACTGACAATAATTTCTGGTGACTTCATAAAATAAAAAAACGCAATTACTATTGTCATTAATATGATCTTTAATAAACGGAATAATGCACCATTTTACAGCAAGCCTTTTTAAACCTAAAGAACTGCCTTAAAATCTCCTCCAATGTCTCTGTATCAATACAATCTTTTTATTTAGGTTTATATATATCAAAGCATTTACTTACACTTATTCATAGAAAACTCTTTAGTGGCTTAATGTCAGCTTTCATAGTGGCATCCATAGATAATACAAAAGAAGAGTGATTTGCTTTATTTTATACTCACACTGATCCATCAAACACAACTTATACAGCATAGCAAGGTTTCAGACAGCTTATACAAAAGCAAAGTAACTGAAATTATTCATAAATTCATATATGACAGTCTATCTGTAATGTAAGAGCAAAACACACCAACAAAAGATACCCGTTAACAAGAAAGAGGGTTCTGAGGAAGTGCGAATATTTTCTAGCCTTTCTTTTTCCAGAAAAGCATCCTCAGAAATGAATACTCTGTAGCTTATGTTTCTCCTGTCCATTCAGAAAAAGCATGGCAGCTACACATCTCCTTGTTTCAGCTATTACAACACCCTAAGAGTTAGTGTATTTTACAATTATCCATGTATCTTTATTTGAAAAATTATCAACAGAAAACTGAAGATGATTCCAGCTTACATAAACACTGATACAATAAAATCTCTTATGGAACAAAATGACAAGGCATACAAAAATTACTTAAATAAATAAATGTGGCCAGAAAAAGAAAATCCACAGAAGTCAAGCAATTCAATGTTAAACTGAGACCTATTCATCTTTGAATTGCATTTTTTAGTATTTTTTTTCTTACTTTTAAGCTTCTTTAAAAATATGTTTCCTTTACATACTTGAGAGGATTGGTAATAAGGTGAAGAGCCTGAGACAAGACTGCTTATGGATAACTTTCTAGGACTTTAAGTATATAGTGTATCAATTTAGAGCTTGAACTTGTCTGATTCAAAGAAAAATTGTTTGACTCTGACAATGTGATATTATAGGTTATTTTCTCAAAACCATTCAAGTTATTACTAAAGTTATAAAATACTTAGTTCACTTTTAGAAGAACGCTTCATAACCCTAAATTGTCTGTGGAGAAAATCCTATCTGAGAGGAACTACTTTACTAAGTTATCTTATTAAAAACAAACAAAATGAAACAATTTGTCCCATATCATGTATGGTCATTTAACCAAAGAGCAGAAATGTAAATCCTTTTAAGTCAGTGCTTCAGGCTATAGGCCTAAGTTTGTTGCAACATGTAGCCAATTAGTTGAGTCATTCCCTCTGTTCAGTAATTACAGAACTGGGTAACTTTTTATGATTAATAAAATCTGATACTCTATGTGAAAAAGTCAAATAAGGTGAAACATTAAATGAGCTGTGCAACAAACACTTTAAATATTCAACTGGATCTAATTGCTTATTTGCTACCAATTGAACTTTTTCAGTGTACAAAGGGATGAAAGGGGCCCTGAGTTTTTAAGTAATATGACATCTATAGAATGAATCTTAAAACATGAAGATTGTTACCAATTACTGCAAGGATATGAAAAAAAAAACCATGAAGATGTTTCTGAAATCTAAAGGTATAAATAAAATGTATAAAACCAACATGTTGCCTTTTAAAACTGAAAAACAAATCAAGTGTAGTTTCAAATACAACAATTTGCTTAAAAATTCAGTCATAAACTGGACACCCTAGTGATGTGATTTGGTTCTGAAGATTCCTTCTCTCCTACCCAGATTTTAAAATGGGTTTCAAATTGTTTTAAAAATGAAAGTGTATGTTCACAATGTTTAATAGTAACACTATAAACATCACAATAATAAGAGAATTGAAATATTTAGGATATGATTTATTTTGAGCATAGTTTTAATATACAGCATAAATTCTTCTGAAGTACTTTCAAATGTATCTGCCATGAGATAAATTTCTAAGTTTTTCTTTATATGCACACTCAAATCAATCACTTAAAAGTTAAATGAAAGTTGTTATAGTCCAGTCTATGTTGCAAAATAATAAGTATTTCAAAAGTGGTCTACAAAAATGTCCATAGATATACCTGATTAATGTAAGGTTTGCTTTTGAAAGTTAGTCTTGCATTTAGCATTTAATATTTGATACAAAGAAATATGTAAAATGTTGTGGCTCAATCATAAAACTAAGCTTGCTGCAATATAAGTTAAAAAATTTTAATGGCAAAATGATATACAATTCTGTATGCATGGCTTTTTAGTTATAACTAGTGAGAATATAAAATCATAAAATTCCACAATAGAAAATGTTAGATAATATAAAAATTAAGAGCTGATTTGCTGGTAGTCTGATGGTTGAATCCATTTTCAAATAGAAACATCTTAACTCTCAATTCAATCAAACTATCAAACTGTTACTTAACTGGAGTCATGAATTTGAATATAAAAGAAAATATAATTTTATGTTCTTAAAAATAAAGTCATTACAATAGGACTGAGGAGAAAGATCTAGTCATTTTGTCTGAAGAATTGAGGCTTCAATGTTCATTGAGAGGCCTGAAGCATACTGAAGACTAAGAACACTGGGGATGATGACCAACTGATCTCTTTTGGGTCCTACTGGGTAAAAGAAAATAATTTAAGATTAAAGAGGAGAGAGACAGAATAGATATGAAGAAAACTTTCCTGACACAGACAACCAATCAGATAACTAAGGTGTAGAGTTAAGTCAGACATAAACTATGAGGTGATTTAAGGAAAGTAATGGGAAGGCGCACTTAAATGCTCCGATTTCCTCTTTTCTCGTATGTTCATCGGGAAATTTGTAGAGAAGCCTTCTCTTGATAACAAATTTGATGTAACTAGCTCAAACAGTGATTTGCCAGATTTACTTAATCAAGGAATATATTTAGGAGGGAATCATGCAAGGTAGCTTTGGGTAAAGTTTGCACAGTTCATAACGTAAAAGTTAAAATGCAACCTTATGTGCTGAGAAGTAAATTGCCAGTAAACAGTATATTTGAAACACTGCATTCTGAAAGTCTCTTGGGGTTTATGTGAGAGGTTAAACAATTTCTAGAATGACTGGTCTAGATAACCAACATGTATGTACAGATTCTAACTTTAAGAAGTTAGCTGGGAAGATAAAGCAACATATGAAGCAATCTGTGAATAGTTACATAATAGATAACCTGCACATAACAGGTAGTAAGTTCAACATAACTTTGTAAAATGCTGTATAGAAATATATTCTCAAATTCTAGGAGTTAATGATCTCCAATAAAATATTCATGTTCATAAATATGAAAAAGGGAATAAAAAGTTCATTGAAGTATTTTTCTATTTTAAATAATTTTCAGGAGAGACTTAAAGAGACTGGAAAATTTCAGTATAACAGCTACAGCCTACTAATTCCATTTGGCTGTAGAAGTCAAATTTGAAAATAATTTAAATAAAAATACTTGCCAATTTTTGTGATAATTCCCACTGAAGCCCACACTTACTTGAGTGTTTCTTTCTCTCTTCAAATAGTTTACATTCAGAACCAATGCATATTTTCTGGAAAAACTGGATACATGTAAAGAACCTATACTAAACTGTTTTATAAAAAGGACATTATCCTTGTATCCTTCCTATATCCTACTCAATTAGTTCTATGGATTGGTAAATTCTCTAAATTTATTAAAAGCAGAAGTCTTGAAGATGGATTCAAAGGATTGATGAGACTGAAATTTTGTGTTAAATTAATTCCCCCAAGTCTACTATGGAATCAATTTAGAGAAAAGTTGCTGTTCACAAAAGCTATCTTAACTTTTTCCTTGAAATTTACTTTACCTTTAGTTCTGCAATATAAGAATGTTATGAGTGAAGTGAAATGATTTTAAGGTTCACAATAGGAGACAGAGGATTGAGTTTTGTCTTGAATTAGCAATTATTTCTCAAGCAACAATCAGCATAGACTATGTCTACATACCTTATATTTGCCTAACTTCTCAAATCATTAAAGTATGTGGTTTGGCTTATATACAAATAACAATTATGCCAGAGTACAGTGACTAAATTTTTAAAGTAAACCTTAGCCCATTACACATCCTGTCATATGGCATGTAGGCAGTGTGGTATGGATGAAAAAATGTGGACTGAGGTAGACCCAGACTGAAATCCCACCTTTGTCTGTTACTAAATGTGGATCTTGGGCATATTACTTAGTTTCTCTTAGCTTCAGTTTCCTCATCTGTAAAATGGGAATATTAATTATAATGCTCATATGGTTGCTCTGAGGTTTAAAATAACTAGTATTTGTATACTTCAGCATTCAGTATGTGTCTTTTCGTAACTTCCTACACTGGTAACAGTTGTTTTTTTTTTTTCCTTTTTTGCCAATTATGCATTTAGAAAGAGTTAACAATTTATAATTAAATCATTTTTGTCTAAACGTAATTCAAATCAAGTTCTTTCAATGACCTAATTCTGGAATACAGTTAGGATTTTGTTAAGGGAACTAATATTAGACTTTACTTATTATGATGCTTTTAAGGTTACATTACCATCTAGTGAAATAAATTTTAATATTTTTAGCTGAATAATCTTTTATTCAAAAGGACCCACTTTTGTACATGTAAAATTTTGTGATGGCAGTTAAATGTCAACTTTAAGAAACACTTATTATCAGATGAATATTAGCAAATAATTAAGTCATTTAAAATAATTTTGCTTGCTTGTATCTTATAGATTTTAAGTCTGATGTATAATTTAATTTAAAATTTATTAAAATAATATATACTTTCCACTTTTCCTACTTTTCAAGAGTCCACTAAGAAAAACTGGTGAAAGGAAATTATTTGTTTTAAACATGCTTGAATGAAATAGTATTCAGTTATTTTAATCTGGCATATTAATTTTCTAAGGCTTTTGTTATCATTTTCCAAATAGTAGAAAATGTTGAAAAACCTACAATAGACTGGCCTAAATACAAATACAGCAGAATGTAAGATAATTCTCCTGGAAGGAAAAGATCAGTTAGGCCTCAAATGGTCATTTATCCTCAATGCTTCAAATTGGAGAAGGAATATAATTTATTTTGATTCAAAGTTGTCCTACAAATATTTGAAAAGAATATCCTAAAATGCATATGAAAGATATTTAAGGTCAAGAGAACTAAGTGAAAATGTACTGGGAAAGATATAAATAATTTGTTAATAGAAGGATAATAACTGTGAAAAAAATTATATGCCAGAAGACTGAAAATCGGTTACAGATCTGAAGATAAGGGCCAATAAAACACAAAATGTGGAAATTCTGGGCACTAATAAAATAATCTTAATTCTAAGAATCCAGAACTGTTCTCAGCAATCCAGCTGAATAAATGGTAAGTGTAGTAACAACTAACTTGTAAGATCACGGCACGCGGCAAATCAGAAGGCTTATATACAAGTAAATCACAAGTATTTTGGACAGAAAATTGGGAAATTCAGGCTGTCTTTAGCTAAGTGATGAGATAGAGGAATATAGTGAAAAATATTGTTCAGGAGATAAAAACCTAAATCAGAAATTTGGTGATTTGTGTTTTCCTCTTAACCTTTTAATCCCTGGAAATATCTTAGAACTTAACTATATGACATTTACTAACTACTCTGATAATTTAAAAAAAATTTTTTAAGTGAAATCATTGTTTGCAAGTTGATGGAAAATAATTTGTGTTTAGAAAAAAGTCCCTTATTTGACAGAAAGTGCTTTATTAAAAAAAAAACATGTAGAGGTTGTTTTAGAGAAGATTATAAGCAATGAAAGAAGCAAGAGAAGCTTTAAAAAACAATGATTTCAAGTCAAAATAGTAAATGTTGCTCACATATCAAAGATAATGTGAAAAACTGGCAAAAGGAAAAATTATGAAAATAGAATTAAAGATGATAACACATAATTCTCAAAAGAGAAGTTTAGCCTCAGTCTCCTCAAAAATGGTAGGTTTGACAGAAGCCCTTCCTTCCATAGGGATTTGGCATGCCACTTGAATGATTTTTCCACACAGTGTTTTAGGTCATGTGAAGAGGAATCATTTTCAGATAAAGTCACCAGTCTTTGCTTAGGAACAGAGTAAATGATACTACAGATTCAGAACTATAAATTACTTCTGAAGTTATAATAAACAGTAAGTGTAATTTTATGAGTCAAAGATGACCTATTCAGAGAATAAAGGCTATAACACTATTTTGTCTTAATCATTTATTTACCTACTTAAAAATTTCATAAGTATAGCTCTATAAGCTTACCAATAAAAATGTATTTCTTAAATAAATGAACATGGAACATGAGCATACATAGAAAAATAAAATAAAATGGGAAATAGCTAATATTCGATGTCCTGTATTTTGTTCTATTCTCTTTTATGAACTCCCAAAACCAGAAGCAAATATGTTTATTAAAATGCCTGGAAGAAAATATTTAGGATTTGGAAGGTTAAAAGCAATGGCATTTAAAATCAGGTTTTGGTAGTTCCTTCTTTAGAGCCCTTTAAGACAATATTTCTGCATTCTCCTTGACAAGGAGGGAGAAAGTGAGAAATCAGGTAGCTGCTTCTCCTGTGCAAAATTCACTGTCATAGAACTGACCTACAAAAGTATGGGAGATGAGGCAGAAAAAATGCTTATATTATGGAAGAATATGTGCCCTATTACGAAGAGAGCTTACAAGAATGCTTACTTGTGGCCTATAAACTATTGCACATTCAAATAAAACACAAGAGAAAGATGTCCAACAGATAATATGTTCAGGAACACATCAACATAAAAAACTAGCTTGTGCCCAGAAATAAAACATGGATACCAGACACCACTGTACTCAAACCTGTCTTAATTTGCTTCTGTTTTAATGACCTTAAGAAACTGGTCCAAACTGATTATCAGCAATACATTGTTTTTGCTTTTTTTCTTAAAAAAATATTTTGAGACCACTTTTGATACACACACATATAACTCTGTGGTCGTAACAGACAAATATAACTTTAGCGAGACTAAACAAAAGTGCAAAACTTAAAAAACAAAATTTAAAAATATGGAAGCATAAGCTAAATTTTTCTGCATAGCTGAAATCTATTTAAAGCAAGTCCTTGTTGCAGGGGTGGGAGGGGGTGGTGACAGGAGGATAAAGCAGTTTTTTTTTTTTTTTTTTTTAAACGTCTTCTGCATGTTTAAATGATGCAAAAAATAATTTCACTCCATAGGCTTGAAAACATTTCACAGACAGTTCATTCCTATATCTTTAGACACCATGGTTGTGGCAGTGCCTCCTTCTGCAAGGTAAACAGCAGTGCTGGATTTGGAATGAACTGCCCTGTTACTGCCATTGTTGTTGACTTCACAGTCCAGTGATTCAGTGGAGATGACCCAGGTGGAGGGACGCCACCGCTTAAGAGAATAGGGAGTTTTCACACGTTTCTTGATCTTTTCACCTGATCCTGATTTGCCATCTTGTGTTGACTCACCTACTGAAAATAAAAGTGCAGAAAAATGAACTATATTACAAACTTAAGAAATAAAGGGTGAGGGATGTAACTCAAGAAAAGGTCAAACCTATGTCTGAGGAGGGTGCTAATGAACTTTTCTTGAAATTCATAATGCTAGGCAATGTTTTTCTAGGCAAAGCTTAACCAACTTATTTGGGACTCCTTTAAGCCAAATGTTTTAATAACATTAACTTATTCTATAGGACAAGGAAAAACATAAAAAACAAAAACAGGGAAGAAAATTTAAAGCTCTCAGCTGTATTCTTAAATCTTCTGGTTTTAGTAAAGTGTACTTAATCATTGTATTTAATGCTCAAGGTGGATCAATGTTTTTTTTTTTTTTTTGGTAGCTCAGGCTGGAGTACAGTGGTATGATCTTGACTCACTGCAACCTCCACCTCCTGGACTCAAGCGATTCTCGTGCCTCAGGCTCTTAAGTAGCTGGAACTACGGGTACGTGCCACCATGCCTGGCTAATTTTTTTGTATTTTAGTAGAGACAGAGGGATTGCACCACGTTGCCGAGGGTGGTCTTGAACTCCCAAGCCCAGGCAATCTGCCCGCCTCAGCCTCCCTAAGAGCTGGGATTACAGGTGTGAGCCACCATGCCTGGCCTGAATCAAATTTTAAAGGCACCTGGCATACAATATTTTTCAGAAGAATGACAGAAATATTAAAGTACAAATATTCTAGTTATTTCCTCTTCCTATGTCTGACACGTCTGACTGACTCAGAGCCCTGCAATAAGGGTCTGTCACCTGGTCTATAATATAAGCCACTTAAGCAAGTGGCTAAATTTTACTGATTGTTTTTTGAGGTCTGTATCCTTCTTTCAGCCCATTTTGTAGCCCTCAACAATCATAAAGCATATCTTTTTTCATAAATGCCTTAGTCTAAAAGAGAAAACGGCTCAGTATGGTGGCTCATGCATGTACTCCCAGCACTGTGGGAGGCTGAGATGGGTAGATCACCTGAGGCCAGGCATTCAAGACCAGCCTGGACAACATGGCAAAACCCCTCCTTTACTAAAATATAAAAATTAGCAGGGCACAGTGGTGCATGCCTGTAATCACAGCTACTTGGGAGGCTGAGGCAGGAGACCCACTTGAACCTAGGAGGTGGAGGCTGCAGGCTGCTGAGATCATGCCGGGAGCCTGAGGCAGGAGAACTGCTTGAACCCAGGAGGTGGAGGTTGCAGTAGGCTGAGATCATGCCATTGCACTTCAGCCTGGAAGACAGAGCAAGACTCTGTCTCAAAAAATAATAATCATAATAATAAAATAAAAATAATTTTGTATAACAATAGCTGTTACAGATTTTGTGAGTTCTCCTGTTTTGTGTTGCAATCCCTTTAGGGCAAGAAACCAAACATCAGTTTAAGTTATTTGTTTAAGATGCTATGGGGCTCATAGTATCATAGTAAAGTTTGGAGTTCCAGCTACTTGGGAGGCTGAGGTGGGAGGATGACCTGAGCCCAGGAGGTTGAGGCTGCAGTGAGCCATGATCTTGCCACTGCACTCCAGCCTGGGCAACAGTGAGACCCTGCCTCAAAAAAAAAAAAAAAAAGTATAAGTATGTGAAAGATTCAACACAGACTTCTTGAAAAAGGTAATACTAAGAAACTAGGAAGAATCTTACGGGTTTTTTTTTTTTTGTTTTTTCAGAGTCTCACTCTCTTGTCCAGGCTGAAGTATAGTGGTGTAATTATGTCTCACTATACCCTTGAACACCTAGGCTCAAGTGATCTTCCTGCCTCAGCCTCCCAAGTAGCTAGGACTACAGGCATGCACCACCACACCCAACTAATTTTTAAATTTTTTGTAGAGATGTGGTTTTGCTATGTTGCCCAAGCTAGTTTTGAACTCCTGGCCTCAAGTGATCCACCCACCTCAGTCTTCCAAAGCACTGGGATTATAGGTTGAGCCACTGTGCCCAGCTACAGTTTCTTTATAGTAATTTTTCTGAAATTTCTCTGGACCTTTATGATTTATTAAGGTTAGTTTGATAAAATCTAAATGCAGGCATAATTGATATTAATATGTGCAGTCAACTGTTTCAAGGGTTATACTGGCATAAAATTACTTGGAGCTCTTGAACCAGTATTTACTTAATTTCAACTTTTCATTGCAAGTATGTAAGTTGCATTATAAAGCAGCAGCCACATAAAGCACATATTAAATTGGTAATTATTCTGACTATCGTTGATACCGACTCTTTAATTATCAATGACAAAAAATATTACTTTTTTCTTTACAATAGTTTAATTACCTTTGAGGCCCAACCAAATGGCTTATTTTATTTTATTTCATTTTTAAGATGGAGTTTCACTCTTTTGCCCAGGCTACAGTGAAGTGTCATGATCGCGGCTGGGATTTCAGGCACACGCCACCACGCTCGGCTAATTTTTGCATTTTTGTAGAGATGGGGTTTCACCATGTTGGCCAGACTGGTCTTGAACTCCTGACCTCAAGTAATCTGCCCGCCTTGGCCTCCCAAAGTGCTGGGATTACAGGCATGAGCCACTATGCCTGGGTTAATTTTTGTATTTTTTAGTAGAGATGGGGTTTTGCCATGTTGGCCATGCTGGTCTTGAACTCCTAACCTCAGGTAATCCACCTGCTTCGGCCTCCCAAAGTGCTAGGATTACATTTATGAGCCACTTCGCCCAGCCTCAAATGGCTTATTTACAAAAGTGGTAAAGGTAAATAATCACTAGTTGAAATATATCTATTGAGTTGATTCTAAGTAGTTATTTAAATGGCCCCAAGAGACACACAGGAGAGATTATATGATCCCTCCACTTACTCTGTATACTGCTGCCATCCAGGACATTTGTGGCTGAAAGATCCAGAGAATTAGGCCTCTGTGCTCTTCTGGGCTTTGATGGCCCAGGATCTGCTGCTGTGCTTGGAACACCCTGTGTAAGAACATCTTGTTCTGAACATGGATTGCTGTTGTTGTTATTGGAATTAGTTCGGCCACCTTCTAGTGGCCGTTCCCTCCTGTCCACAAGACGATCCAGAACACCTTCATCGTGGCCAGCTTGTTGCTCTCGTCTCAGTAAAGGCTCATGCTCATCAGGACTGGAATTAATATTCAGCCGGGTATCCTCACTGATAAACTGATTCTGCAGCATTTCTTGGGCCCTATGTGTCACTATGTTGGTTGTTTGGCCAGATGGTACTGTCCCATTGGCATATTGGGTTGTAGCAGCATGGGAGTTAACACTGTGGTTTCTACCTGCCACACCATTCATGGTGACTGTCACCACATGAGGTTCTGCTGCATTGATTGTATTCATCTTTGCAACTCCAGTTTCTACTTGTTTCAAGTTTGATTTGTGCTTGCTGCCAAATTTTAACCGGGGCTCCTTTGTTGAATTTTTGGTGTTTAAAGGCAAACTAGTAGGTCTCTTGGGAAGGTTCTGTTGCTTGGGGAGGGGATAGATCTGAGTAGGCAGAACATCAGGAATTAAACACGCTTGGCCATTTGCAGCCTGTGTGAAGTCCTGCTGTCCAGTTGCTTCTACTGCAAGTTTTATGAGTGGGTAAAGCAGGCTAGAACTAGTACTGCTCAGTGGGTCTGGCCCACTGAACTGTTTAAGAGAGTGCTCCATCAGATTCTCATCAGAGCTTTCCTTGAGGTTCTTATCAACTTCTTTTGGGTCTAGTTTGTTGGTCTCCAAGTCTTCTTCTGTCAGCTGTAAGCAGACAGGGGTTGGCCCAATTGATTGTGCAACATTTGTGGCATGCAGATTTGTTTCATCTGGGTATGGCATCTCAGATATAGTGGTCATGCCAGTACTTGGCGTGAGGCCTGTGGTGTTTGTGGTTGTTGTGTTGGTGGAGAGGCTGGTGACGCTTGTTTCAGGGCTGGGGATTCGAGCTTGTGCTTGCTGTCGTTCATAGTTAATTGAATTTCGGTTCTTTTCCCCTATAGTCAAAGGTGTGCTGGACATAGAATGCTCAGAGGAAATATTCTTCACAATGCTGTCAGTGTGATGGATAGAGTCTTCAATGTAAGAGGAGGAAGAATAATCTGGATAAGGACCAATTTTTGGCACACGCCTATTATGTGACAGGTTGCTTAAAGAAAGAAAAAAAAGTGTCACATTGAGAACAGACATTTATGACAAACTGTCTCTCCAAGTTTAACACCTCTGATTTTAAAGTCTGAGCTGTTTTTCATTTTCTTCCAAACATATATTTTTCTAAAGGTTAGTTAAAAAGTCTAATCAAATAATCAAGTATCAATTAATAACTTGATAAGTGTTAGTTTTAGATGAATTAAGCCTACTGAAAAATTTGTGAATCAGATATGATTTTTATAAATGTCCATTATTTTGGTTTATAAGAGTTAATTTAAAAATCTCTCCTATAGTCTTATAACATCACAAAATATCTATTTATGAACTATATATTCATACAACAAGACATTATGTTTTATGAGAGGAAGAACCATGGCATATGTTTCTTTTTTACTTCCATAATTCTAGATGCATAGTACCTACTCAAAAGGTATGTTGTCAATTACATTCCAATGGCCAGATGGTAAAAAGAATATAAGCTTTTAGGTTGTTCCAAAGGCCTCCGTTAAGAGGCATGCCCTAGCAATGGCACATATCTTTCTGGGATAGTCTGAGCCATTTCAGCAAAAGTCCTTGAGCCTAAGGCATAATGAAGAATGTGTTGTTCAAATAAAGGATCAAAGATTCAGAACTGCTCTCTAATTATCATGGGTTTTTCACTGTCATTGTCATTCCTTGGGAGTGACAGTTATTTACAAGGGAGATGACAGAAGGAAAAGAAGAAAAAGTTGTTAAACAGTAGAAGAAAAGGAAGCTAAGGAGACATGGAGGGTAAGATTCAGTAAAATAAAACGTAGATTAGAGTAACTATGGGAAATCATTAGTAGAGACTGGAGATGAGAAGATGCATGGAGAAGGTAGAGCTGAATGACACAGGAGGCAAAAAAATGGCCAAATCAAGGTGGGGTATCAAGGATTTCTTTTCTTATCATTAAAGAAAAGTTTGAAAGCATTCAAAGTAAAAGCTTTCGCTGACTTTTGAGAAAGGTATAAACAACATACTAGAGGACATGGGAAATACAGAGATGAGGGGAGATGAAAGCAGACTACTGTCCTCAGGTATGTCTAAAGTGAGAAAACTTATGATTAGAATTGCCAGTGTCTACCTTCCCTGACTTGCTGATATATAACGTATAAGAGTTTATATCTGAAACTAATTTAACCTATACAAAAGTAGTACAAACCACATTTTTGACCTATGGCTATTATAAATAGCTTTCACAAATTAGAAAAATAGAAAATAGGCCAGGCACAGTGGCTCGCAGCCAGGCACGGTGGCTCACGCCAGCACTTTAAGAGGCCAAGGCGGGCGGATCACCAGAGGTCAGGAGTTCACGATCAGCCTGGCTAACATGGTGAAATCCCATCTCTACTAAATATACAAAATTAGTTAGGCCTGTAATTAGGTGGCTCATGCCTGTAATCCTAGCTACTGGGGAGGCTGAGGCAGGAGAATCTCTTGAACCCGGGAGGGGGAGGTTGCAGTGAGCCAGGATTGTGCCACTGCACTCCAGCCTGAGTGACAGAGTGAGACTCAGTTTCCACCCCCAAAAAAGTTTCAAGAATCAAGTGTATTTTTATTTCAATTTTCGCCTGTACCGCTTTCCTGGATGCCTTTCTGAAAGTTTTAAACATGTATTAGACAAAATGACAAAGTCATAGAGCAGCTTTTTTTTCCCCCAAACATGGAACAAAGAAATACAGGCGAAGAAAGTTCCAAATTGTAGGGATTTTTTAAAAGTCTCTTTATTTAAAACCAAAAATCATAGTTCTAATAAAGGAAATGTCTTGTAAAATAATATTCATGATGGAACAGAAAGACCTTTGAACTGCTTTCATGTAGTAGTAGTGTATTCTAGAAGAAAGGGCATTAGATAGGAAGTCTAGAAACTGTAGCATCAGTGACAGTGGTTAGATAGGCAAGTTCACAGTTCTATTGACTTAAGGAAAAAAGCAGAGGAGGAAGGAATAGTAACAACAAAGGATAAATGAGACAATTTATATAGAAGTGCTTATGAACTTTTGGTTATTAAAACGTTTTACCTTTATTATTTCAGGAAAGTTGGATCATAGAGAAATACTAACTTCTTTCACTATATTTTTACATATAAAAAATGCAGATTTCAATTTGTACTTATACCAAACAAAAATGTTCAGTAAAGAATAGGAATATTGAAAGACAAATGATAACTTTAGATTGTATGAGGTAATCATTGAACCATTAGGCTGGTTTAACAGTATTTGTTTTCTATTCTTTGTTGGGTCTCAGTTTCTAATACTGACTGATAGATGCCACACCCCTTAGGGTCTTACCGTTCATTCTGCATAGCAGTAGACATTGGATTGACTGTTGGGCTCACAGATTTGTTTCTTTCCCAAATCATCATAAGTTCAGCCATCCTTTCCTCAGCACACTGTGCAGTAAGCCGAGCCTCTGCATCCTGGTCCCAACAGTCTTCGATTGTCTCCTTGAGTGACCTCACTGCCTGTAAGGCAAAGTACATGTCAAACGGTGTGTTTTTTTAAAAAAAAGTATCAAGCTTTTCAGTTCACAACATGAGGTAAAAGAAAAATCAATTTCCCTAACCAGTATTTTACATATAATAACATATTTTAGGCTTCAAGGGTTTGTAAAGGAACACATTCTCAAAAGGCGAGGAACAAGTAAGCAAGCAAGATTTAACTCCCTGAAGAATTATTCACAAGAGTAAGCAACAATAAGTCACAGATATTTTTTCAAGGCCACAGGTTTATGTCATTGTTAATTCAATAGCCACTAATTCTACCTCAAAAATAAGTTTTGAGTTTGATAGAATTTGGGGCATTTGGCTATCTTCTATCTCTAGGTGAGCTTTTCTCCTTTTCCCTCAGTTAAGAGTGCTTGGCTGGGTGCAGTGGCTCACACCTATAATCCTAGCACTTTGGGAGGCTGAGGCAGGCCGATCACCTGAGGTCAGGAGTTTGAGACCAGTTTGGCCAACATGGTGAAACCCCATCTCAACTAAAAACATTAAAAAATTAGCCAGCATGGTGGTGTGCACCTGTAGCCCCAGCTACTTGGGAGGCTGAGGCAGGAAAATTGCTTAAACCCAGAAGGCAGAGGTTGCAGTGAGCCAAGATTGTGCCACTGCACTCCAGCCTGGGTGACAGAGTGAGACTCTGCCTTAAAAGGAAAAAAAAAAAAAAAAAAAAAAGAGTGCCTTGTTCCAACCTTAAAATTTACAGACATGTCTTCTTTAAACTAGTTCCACAACAATAGTATCAAAAATAGTCCCATTCTGTAGTTCTCCTAAACATTAGCAATGAACAATAGTCTCCCTTTTGGGGAAAGCTAGTTTTAACTCCCTTTGTAAAAACAGGCTTTGGATACTTTAGTAGACTGTCATCTATACTGTCATCTATAATCCCTTCAGACTTGTTTTAATTAAGCTTTAAGCTTTGTGCCTGCTCTGATACTTACATTTCCTGTACCTTTACTTTCAAAAAGATGGTTTTGGGCTAGGGTTGCCAGATTTAGCAAATAAATATAAGATACTCACTGGAACTTGAATTTCAGATAAACAACAAATAATATTTCAGTATAAGTATAACCCATATAATTCTTAATCTAGGCGTTTTATCTGAGAAGCATATTTTATGCTAAAATTCTGGTTAGCAATCCTGGCAACATTTTTAATGTTTCCTAATAACCTGTATTCTGCAACAAACAAATCTGGACAGGAAATTTAATAATGTTCTTTCCAGGTGTATGCTCATACCTACACAATGGCTTTGGGGAATAAGGGTTTTTTAAAGCTCCCACATATACTAGAGAACCTAGAAAGCCAAGCATATGTACAAAGCGGAGACATGATCAGAAAATACCTGAGAATACTATAGCTTTTTTAACTGGTGGTCTTTAGGCTCAGGACTACCCAGGAGATGAAGGCTGAGGCAGAGTTGTAAAAGGCCTAGGTAAGTGGAAAAGGAGGACTCCAAAACAGAGTAAATCTACAAAGACCTGGAGAGTATTTTCTTTATTCTATTTATTTTCTTTTCTATCATAATATTCAAAATGTCTAGTTTTAAACAATAAATTATAAGGCACACAAAGAAACGAAAAATATGGCCCATTCATAGGAAAAAAAGAAATTAACAGAAAAGATCCCTGAGAAAGGACAGACATTAAAATTATGAAACAAAGACTTTAAATGAACTACCTTAAATTAAATATTTAATTAAGGAACAAATTAAGGAAACCATGGACAAAGAACTAAAGGACATTAGGAAAACTATCTCAGTAAGTGGAGACTAGCAATAAAGAGATAGAAATTATTTAAAGGTACCAAAAAGACACTTTGGAGCTGAAAAATCAAAAAGTAAAATAAAAATATTCACTATATTGGTTTAATAGCAGATTTATAAGCAGAGAGAAGAAAGAATCAGTAAACTTGAAGATAGGGAGAATAAAATTACCAGACTAAGGAGCAGAAACCAAAAGAATAAAGAAAAATGAACAGAGCCTAAAAGACTTTTGAGACACCATGAGTCATACCAAATATACATAATGTGAGTCCCAAAATCAGAGAAGAAAGAAAAAGGAAGAATATGGAAAGTCATAATGGCTCAAAACTTCCCAAACTTATTTTATTTAATTAATTAATTAATTTTTTGAGACAGGGTCTTGCCCTGTCTTCCAGGCTGGAGTGCAGTGGCACAATCTCGGCTCACTGCAACCTCTGCCTCCTGGGTTCAAGCGATTTTCCTGCCCCAGCCTGCCAAGTAGCTGGGATTACAGGTACCTGCCACCATGCCTGGCTAATTTTTGTATTTTTAGTAGACATGGGGTTTCGCCATGTTGACCAGGCTGATCTTGAACTACTGACCTTGGGTGATCCACCTGCCTCAGCCTCCCAAAGTCCTGGGATTACAGGCATGAGCCACCACACCTGGCCAAAACGCTCCAAATTTAGTAAAATAAATAAATCTAGGCTAGGCATCATGGCTAACACCTGTAATCCCAGCAGTTTGAGAGGCTTAGGCAGAACACTTGAGGTCAGGAGTTTGAGAGCAATCTGGCCAATATGGTGAAACCCTGTCTCTGCTAAAAAGAAAAAAATTAGCTAGGCATGGGGTCGGGCACCTGTAATCCCAGCTACTTGGGAGGCTGAGGCAGGAGAATTGCTTGAACCTGGGAAGTGGAGGTTACAGAGAGCCAAGAGCCAAGATCATGCCACTGCACTCCAGCCTGGGTGACAGAGTGAGACTTAGACTCAAAAAAACAAAAAACAAGAAATGAATCTACATATCCAATATCCAAAAAACTTGATGAATTCTAAGTAGGATAAACTCAGTTTCATATTGAGACACGTTACTATTAAACTGTCAAAAGCTTAAGATGAAGAGAGAACCTTGACAGCTAGAGAAGAGACCTGAAACATACATGAGATCTTCAATAAGATTAACAGCCAATTTCTTATCAGAAAACATGGAAGCCAGAGGAAGAGGTATAACATACTTAAAACACTGAAACAACAACAACGACAACTGTTAACCAAGAATTCTATAGCAAGGAAAATTATCCTTAACTAATGAAGTAGAAATTAAGGTATTTCCAGATAAACAAAAACTGAGATTGGGTATGGTGGCTCACGCCTGTAATCTCAGTACTTTGGGAGGCTGAGGCAGGTGGATCACCCAAGGTCAGCAGTTCAAGACATGCCTGGTCAACACGGCAAAACCCTGTCTCTACTAAAAATACAAAAATTAGCCAGGCATGGTGGCAGGTACCTGTAATCCCAGCTACTTGGCAGGCTGGGGCAGGAAAATTGCTTGAACCCAGGAGGCAGAGGTCGCAGTGAGCTAAGATCATGCCACTGCACTCCAGCCAGGGCAACAGAGAAAGGCTCTGTCTCAAAAAAAAAAAAAAAAAAAAAGGCTGATATTCCCTACAAGAAATGCTAAAGGGAGTCCATCAAAGGACATCAGACAATAAGTAGAAGCCAAAAGACTACTTAGGTAGATATAAAAGCCACTATTATTATATTTTTGGTTTGTAACTCCTTTTTAAAAACAAAAAAAGGCCAGGCGCGGTGGCTCACGCCTGTAATCCCAGCACTTTGGGAGGCCGAGGCGGATGGGTCACGAGGTCAAGAGATCGAGACCACCCTGGTCAACATGGTGAAACCCCGTCTCTACTAAAACTACAAAAAATTAGCTGGGCATGGTGGTGCGTGCCTGTAATCCCAGCTACTCAGGAGGCTGAGGCAGGAGAATTGCCTGAACTCAGGAGGCGGAGGTTGCGGTGAGCCGAGATCGCGCCATTGCACTCCAGACTGGGTAACAAGAGCGAAACTCCGTCTCAAAAAAAAAACAAAAACAAAAACAAAAAACAGAGTCTCATTCTGTTGCCCAGGCTGTAGTGCAGTTGCATGATCACAGGTCTCCTTACTCCTGGACCAAGCAATCCTCCTACATCAGCCTCCTGAGTAGCTGGGACTGCAGACAAGCACCACTGGGCCTGGCTAAGGCACCACTGTGCCAAAATGATCCTTCTGCCTTGGTCTCCCAAAGTGCTGAGATTACAGGGAAAAGCCATCACATCTAGCCTCCTCCTTTTTTCTTAAGAGAGAAAAAGCATAAAATAATAATTATAAATCTAGGCTGGGCATGGTGGCTCATGCCTATAATCCCAGCAATTTAGGAGGCTAAGGTGGGAGAACTGCTTGAGGCCAGGAGTTCAAGACAAGCCTGGGCAACATAGCAAGATTCCATTTCTACAAAAAAATTTAAAAATCAGCTGGATGGCTTCTTCTCCGATAGAACACCAAATGGCGGATGAAGCCGATGCAAAAAGAAGAAAAAATTAAAAAAAAAAAATCAGCTGGATGGGCTGGGTGCGGTGGCTCACATCTGTAATCCCAGCACTTTGGGAAGCTGAGGCAGGTGGATCACCTGAGGTCACGAGTTCGAGACCAGCCTGACCAATATGGTAAAACCCCACCTCTACTAAAAACACAAAAATTTGCCAGGTGTGGTGGTGGGCACCTGTAGTCCCAGCTAGTCGGGAGGGAGACAGGAGAATTGCTTGAGCCCAGGAGGTGGAGGTTGCAGTGAGCCGAGATCACGCCACTACACTCTAGCCTGGGTGACAGAGCAAGACTCTGTCTCAAAAAAAAAAAAAAGATTAGCTGGATGTGGTTGTGCACACCTGTAATCCCAGTTACTCAGGAGGCTAAGGTGGGAGGATCACTATTTAGCCTGGGAGGTCAAAGCTGTAGTAAGCTATGATGGCCGGACTATACTCTAGTCCGGGTGATACAGTGAGGCCCTGTACTCCCATTGCCACCCCCTAAAAAGTCTAAAATTAAAAAGACTGGCAATACCAAGTATTTGCAAAGATGTAGAGAAACTGGAACTCTCAGGCACTGCTGGCCAGAATGTAAAATGGCACAACTACTTTAGAAAACCAGCAGGGTTTCTTTTTTCTTTTTTTTTGAGACAGAGT